AAAAAAAAGGTATAGTTGGCCATTTTTTTCTGAGTTGGCATTTTTATTTAATTTAAAAGTAATAATTCTTTCTTTTTTTCACCCACGTCAGATTTCTTCTTCCTCTTCTTCCTTTCTCCTTCTTCTTTCTTAAATCCAGATTTGTGTTTTTCTCAAACCCAGGAAAAAAACAAATAATGCATTACTTTCGCTCATTCTTCTTCTTATTCTCTCTCTTTCTTCTCCCTTCTTCTTCCTTTCTCAAACTCAAATTTGGGTTTTTCTCTCAAACCCAGATCTGAGTTTTTCTCTCAAACCCAGATCTGGGTTTTTCTTAAACCCAGGAAAAAAAAAATAATGCATTACTTTCGCTCATTCTTCTTCTTATTCTCTCTCTTTCTTCTTTCTTCTTCTTCCTTTCTCAAACTCAAATTTGGGTTTTTCTCTCAAACCCAGATCTGAGTTTTTCTCTCAAACCCAGATCTAGGTTTTTCTCTCAAACCCAGATCTGGGTTTCTCTCAAACCCAGATCTGGGTTTCATCACATAAATTAATGATCTAATGAAGCTGATGATAAAAAAAAAAAAAAGCAATACAAATCATTCCATTATATTAAACAAGGCACATCTGCGGACCTATCATCTGCTGCGGACCTATCATTCCACCCCTCTTCTCTATCTCAGACAGCAACCTAGCAAGAGTAAAGCACTTCACTCATACAATAAAAAACAATCGAATGAAACCAGCAGAATTTATAATTAGTAGCTAATAAACAAAATTCCTTAATCCAGGAAAAAAAATAATGCACGTTTGTGATAGACACTAACTAAAGCTTCAAATGCAAAAAACTAGTAAGATTCAATCAATCAACTGACACTATCAATAAAAACACATATGATAAACGGGAAGAGTAGAAGAAATTATAAGTAGAGAATGAGCAAGAGCTGGAAGACAATGCCAGATGGAGCAGGACTAAAGCCTTTTCGTTATCAAAATCGCTAGAACCGTTCTCGACGCGAGGACGCTTGGCGTCAGCAAGAGTAGATGCAGCAGTGAGGCGAGCCGTGACCTCTTGAGCACGCTGCTTAGCCATCTTAATGCCATCGAGAGGCGGTGGAACGCTATTGTAAGAGCGAGGCACCAAATCTAGAGATGAGAAGCCGGTGGGCCTCCTTCCACTGGACGACGGAGGGGTCTGGTCCTCGTACTTTCACTTGTTGCTGCCTACCTCTGGACTTGATGACCTATCATCAGGTCATCTTCTCGAGCCTATCATCTTCTCGGGCCAATCTGGGTAAGGGAAAAACCTAGATCTGGGTTTGGGAAAAACCCAGATCTGGGTTTGAGAGAAGAAGAAGAAGGCTGAAAATAATAGTAGCGAAAGGTTTGGTGTGAATGATGACGAGATTGAACAAGGCACTATCACCTAGAGGAACAAAGAAGTGATCGAGCGTCCACTCCACACTCACACCTGGGCTGTGCTCGCCATCATTGACGGAGATGATCATCACTCGCTTCTCCGCCGTTTGGGAAAATCGAAAGCCTGGGTTTGCAGAGGTATTGAGCGTCCACTCCAACGCGTAGGCGCTGTGCTCGCTGTCATCGACGGCGACGATCATCACTTTCTTGGTGGTTTGAGAAAACCCAGAGCTTGGGTTTGCAAAGGTAAGAGAAAAGGAAAGATAAAGGAGAGAGAAAATGAAAGAGGAAGAAAAAAATCTGACGTGGATGAAAAAAAAAAAGAATTATTACTTTTAAATTAAATAAAAATGCCAACTCAAAAAAAAATGGCCAACTATACTTTTTTTTTTCCATGTCATTGATTAAGAAAAAAAAAATTGATTTGCTGGTATTTTAACGTGCCATCTGTCATTTAACTGACGGAAGGACCATTTTGGTACCAAAAATAAAAGTTTAAGGATAATTTTGGTACTTTTTAAAGGTGAGGGATAATTTTGGTACCAAAGTGTAAAGTTAAGGGACCAAAATGGTACTTAAACCTAATAAAAATGAGGGATTTTTGTACGGCTCTCAAAAAAAATTTAATATTGCTGATGGCTTACAATTATGTCTCCTAATTATTTTTTTTATTGCCATGAAGTGATTTATAGTATATTTAATTTTAAAAAATAAAAAAAATAATTTTTTAATTAAATTGATTAAAAATTTTTTTGATTTCTTTCAAATCAAATATATTATTAAAATTTTACTTAAAAAAGGAAAAAATAAATAAATTTAGATGCTTATATATAACATTCTTTCTCTTCTTTTTAATAAAAGATTAAACCAAATCCCAATATATGATTCATGTGGTTATTGTGTAAATATTCCCCTCGTTCCATCATATTCAAACCCCTTTGTTCCTTATTCCTCCAATCCTCCTCCTCTTTTCTTAACTCCCTTGGTACCCAAAAAAAAAAAAACAAGAAGGGGAATCAGGCCAAGTAGACCATAGGATCAGTGACTAGATACCTTTGACAAGTCATAACCATAAGACTAGTAACCGACTTACGGATACTTATATCAATACACAATTTGTGCCGACAGAAAGTGCATGACTTATGGGTATAATTAAGTAGAGAAGAAACAAAGTTTGCGGTTTACTTTTTTCCCTTTGTTGGCTGCTGTTTTGGGGTTTACTTTTAGTTCAATTGAAGAACTTGATTTAGGGATTACTTTTAGTTCAATTGCAGAACTTGATTTAGGGATCAAGACGTCATCGAATAAGACAGGAAATGTCCCCACTTGGAATTCTGTTTTTCCAAAATGGTAGTGGGTTTTGGACGTAAAATCTTGCATAATCACATTTTATTTGTTTAGTTTGTCAATCGCCTTTGACTTGTTGGATTTGATTTTAGACTAGTAGTAAAATCACTTAAAGAAATGCAAAAAAGAAAAGGAAATTGGAGTGGAGTATCCATTCACTTAGATTTATTTCTTTATTACATTATTAAGCATTCATATACAATTTAAAATAATAAAATAGGCGTACTTTATTATTCAATTATTGTAAATATAACTCCATAGTAACTTATATTTTATTTTTAAATTGAAGTACAAAAATAAAATCAAATATATATAAAATCCTTACTTCCAACTTAAGTTTTGATGATAAAAAAACTCTTGAATTTGATTAAAGTTTCAGATATTCATGTAATCCAGAAAAAAAAAAAAATCCCCGGTTTATTGGGCTCCCTTAAAAGATTTTGATTGGGCTCACTTGTTTCTTGATTAGGATAGAAGCCCATTTAATCAGATTAGAGATGGGAGCCCAAACAAATATCACATTTCCTATCAAATCCAAATCCAACCCAACTCTCATGGTAAAACAAAACCCAAAAAGATTTCCCATCTCGGCTACAGCAGAGTTTTGCAATTTTTGTTCCATTTACCTCTTTGAGTGAGGGGAATGAGCCTCTATCCAGAAGAACTCTTTCCCACATCTCTTACATTGTTGTGTTGTCCTGCCAGTCATCAGACCATGAAATTATAAAGAAGTTCCAGATGCTGTATTGATGGCAAAAAATCTTATTTTCTAAGATTTCTCCCCACATGGTAACTAAGATGGCTAACTTGAAATCTCAAAATATTATATGTGAAAACACTCAAAACAAATCTTTTTATATTAATGGATAAATATTAAATAAAAAATAAATAAATTCCTCAATCTAAAGTTTGGATGTCAAGGTCACAGAAGACAAAGGTTTTATGAAATGTAACTTCAAATCTGAAATCCTAAGGGCTAATCTAATCTAAATAAATACTGAACTGAAGCAGCTAGCTGCTCATTGCTCTGATGTCAGCCCATGTATAATGTGCTACAACAACGAAACTGTAATCACAGGGAAAATACTGGTGCAGCCTCTTTCATCATGCCACTCATCATACAATCTCGCTGCTGCCTACGGTTACTGCAGCCAGCCAGCCATTGTATGCCACCAACAGAAAACCTAATTCAAGTTAACATTTCGCATATCTGGTCTACTAGTATTGGTGAGTGGAGATTTGATCTCATCTTCCAAGGATAGTGGAGCTTGCAAGAGCTGAGTGTTTGGGAGAGGACTGGTGTTGATGAAGTTGTGGTTTTCAGCAATGACCTTATCTGCTTCCATGTGGACTGGTGCTGGGGTTGCCGTGGTGCAGAGCCCTTCATCATCTGTCAATTTTCTATGAATAGAAATTGGACCTTTTGACACTGCTGGATTGGCAAAATTGCTGGCAGCTGTGGAAGATTCTGCCGAGTATTTCCTCTTCAGTTCCCTACCGATGCTTTGTTTAAAACTGGCAACAACAAGCTGATAAATGAAAGGAGAATGCTAAATTATTAGTTCCAATACTATTTTTGATACAACATATATGACTATATCCACTTAAGAAAAGCAAGATTAATTGCTGATAAAAAAAAAAAAAGGAAAGCAAGTTTAATTTATTTACTTGGATAGGGCCAGCTGCAACCATAGAACCTGCAACACTACCACCAAAAACTCTTCCATCCGGTTTAGCAAGTGAAACACTCAACATGCTACTTTTGTTGTGAGAACCCCCTATTTCTCTAAAGACAAAAGACCCCTTTAGAGATATAATTTCAAAACGTCCCTGCATTAAGTAAAGATCAGTGTTGTTGAGATAGACAGAATTAATTAGCACATTTCAGCCAGTGAGGGACCATAATTCATACCTCATGTCTCAGCATTCCAGCAGAAGAACCAGGCTGGCGTATAACAATACTGGAGACTAATCCAGTAGCAGAAAGAATGCAGATTGCTTGAGGACCTTTTCGAGCAAATGATGTTATTCTGCTGAGAACATCCTGTGCAGTAAGATTATTACAAGAGAATTTCTAAGATTCAGTTCATGTATGGTAGATGTATATATGATGAACAACTATTACTGTTATCTTACATATCTAACATTACCTCTCCTGCAAGAACATTGATTACATGAGGGGTGAAGTTTCCTCCTGCTGTCTCCACAATACATCCACCTGAGACAAAAAAAAAAAAAATCATATGACATAAACAGGTCAGGTTAGCTATTTTCTGAAGTTCATTTCAGACTATGTTCATGCCCTTGTTTAGAGAACTTTGTTTCAAGGAAATATCTATCTTATGCAACCAGAGAGCTTAGCCTAATTGCACAATTCTTGCTTTACACCATCATTAATTGCATATTTAACTCTTATCATAAAACTAGCTCCCAAGCATTAAAAAATTTTAATTTTTGATTTCAAACCAATTTGAGAGCTTGTTCTTATTAATAACATGCTAGAATTTACCAGCCATCTGAAATTCCAAACTATAGCCCTTTTTTTTTGCCCCCAAAAGGATAAAGGGTTTCACCAAAGATTGATTCATTTCACCAAACAAAATTGAACACCTAATTCTATCACTTCTAAAGATTACCTCCCTTGCACCTATTCGACCCATCTTCTAAAAGAATTTATCTAGCAACAAGAATCAAAGTTGGTAAATCAAAGAAATGGTAAAGTGTATCAAATTTTAAAATGATTTACAACTATTCCATATAAATTCATTATTTAACACCTCTAAATCAAAGAAGTTAACACAATTGAAGAGTTCACGTCCAACCAAAATCATTTAGAAATCCATAAAAGCCACCATTCACACAAGGGATATACATACTATATACAGAATCGGAAGGAAACACAGCTCTGGAATAAATTAAACATGCAAAACTTAAATACAACCCACCAAGAGCAGCCAAAAGCTGCAGTTTTCCGGACCCCTTGGGTCGCCCCCGACCCCGTTTCGCAGAATCACCTTCCGGCGGGGCTAAGGCGGGCAACGAGCTCGTGACCGCACCAACATCATACTTCCTAGGCCTCCCCCGCTTCTTCGGCTGAACGATTTGTTTCCCAGTTGCGTCCGACCCTTCCCCAGACCGTAGAGTTCCCATATCACCGACCTCCACCTGAGCCTCTGGATTCACCGGTGACCCGGTTCCTTTTAAAGCCATAGATCTGTTAACGGCCCCGAAAAGTTGGACCGTAGAGGGTGTAATGCTCTGTTCTTCCATATATGCCTTCGAATTCAAACGCAACCCTGAAGACAGACAAACTCAAAAGACACTAACGCCGTTAACAGGAAGAACTTGAACTGGCGGCGCCGCCACACTGGCACCGGAAAAATTAATTTGCGGTTTCGAAATTTGTTTTGCCTTTCAGACGTACATTACACTGAGGAAGAATTTCGTACGAATTGCCCGACTTATAGTAGCGGGAGCCATTGTGTTGTATTCCAATAATGCCCTTAACAATTCAAAAGTTGTCCCGAGTTTTATTTATTTTTATTTTTTATTATTAACAAATTTTCTTATTTCATTCATTTTTTATTTAAGTTACGCAATTACAAATAATTATTTTTTATTTTTTATCTTATTTT